AAGGTGCAGGTGTCCCTCGTTTGCACATAGTCTTGGTTGCAAGAGGTCAAATACCTAGGAGGGCTCTTAACAGGCTGACTCTTGTTTTGTACTCCATCAGGGGGCCTGGAACTGGAAGCTCACTTTTAAATATTTATTTATTTATTTAGTTGTAGTTGAACACAACATCTTTATTTATTTATGTTTTTGTGGTGCTGAGCCTCGCATGTTTGAGGTGAGCGCTCTACCGCTGAGCCACAACCCCAGCCCCCATTGAAGCTCACTTTATATGTTGTGTAGGACACCAACCTGTCTCATACACAAAACACACAAGACCCATCCTTTCCCAAGGATAGACAAGGGAAAGTACAGAACATGTATTACCATGCCCGGCCTCTGAACAGCCCTGAACTGCTGGGACAAGGTGGAGAAGAGAAGATGCCTGAATCTGAGCAGAGGGAATGGGGACTGGTCCTGGGGTAGGAAAGGGGCGCTGACTGTCCTCTCTCTGTCCATACCCCCCAAGTCTGCAAAACTTGCATCGTGCGTTACCTGGAGACCAACAAATACTGCCCCATGTGTGATGTGCAGGTCCATAAAACCCGACCGCTGCTGAGTATCAGGTGGGCCTGGCATTGCTCCCCCTGCCACTACCCAGCTGCTAGGTCAGCCTACCTCTGTCCCCTCATCCTCTTTGCCTCCTGCAGCCAGGGCAGCTGGTCAGGAGAAGTAGGGCCTGGACTCTGTCCCTCCCCTCCCTCTTGGTTACTCCTAGCTTATAGGCTAAGAAATACTAGGAAGTCCGAGGCCTGGGCACCGGGTGTAGGGAAGGGTTGGAAGAGGGTCCCAGGCTGGGGATAGTAGGATGATGTGACTATTGATAGTCCCTGAACTTTTTTCCCAGATCTGACAAAACCCTCCAAGACATAGTCTACAAATTGGTCCCTGGGCTTTTCAAAGGTATTTGTGTCCCCTTCTCCCCTCCCCCCTCTCCTGTCCTCTCCTAGTCTCCTGCACTCTTACCCTGCTTCTTCCTTCTTCCAGATGAGATGAAACGGCGACGAGATTTCTACGCAGCGTACCCCCTGACAGAGGGTGAGTGTGCGCATGCCTATTCCTGGGCCTGTGCCAGGAGGTAGGGTTGCCTAACCCCATGCATCCTCCCACAGGGCACCCCACTCCCCTGCTGAGAGGGTGGCCGGGCTCACCTGACTGAGCTTTGTGACCCTCTGTCCCTGGTGAGCCTCCTCCCCCCTACCTCCCACTCACCCCCCAAGCTCTTTCTGCAGTCCCTAATGGCTCCAATGAGGACCGCGGTGAGGTCTTGGAGCAGGAGAAGGGGGCGCTGAGTGATGACGAGATTGTCAGCCTCTCCATCGAGTTCTACGAAGGTGTCAGGCAAGTCCAGTCCAGGCCTGGGCTGGCCCCATCTGCTGGGAGCCCTCAATGTGTGTGCGGTGAGGGGTCCTGCCTGCTCCAGGGTCGCTCTAGCTTTCTTCTTTCTCCTTCTCCAGGGACCGGGAGGAGAAGAAGGGCCCCCTGGAGAATGGGGATGGGGACAAGGAGAAGGTGAATGCTGGGGCCTGCCCAGGAGTGGGCTGTGGGCTGTGAGGTAGTGCCTGGGGGGCCCCTCACAGGCATCTCTCCCCAGCAGACAGGGGTGCGCTTCCTGCGATGCCCAGCAGCCATGACCGTCATGCACCTTGCCAAGTTCCTTCGCAACAAGATGGATGTACCCAGCAAGTACAAGGTGAGTCCTGGGCCTTCTCAAAACAGGAGCGTCTTTGTGAGAGGGTCTGACAGTCTGCACCCCAACTATTGCTCAGGGCTGGCTAGGCGTCATCGGGGGCTGGTGTGACTGTGTTACAGCCTATAGAGAAGGGTGGTTGAACCCAGGATTAGGGTGGCATAGTCTGTGTCTGTTGAAGTCATTGTGCAGAGGTGCTTGGGGTGAGGGTGTATGTGCACTCACACTTACACACTCAGAATTGTGGAAGAGGTGTACAGGTGAAAATATAGGGCCAGCTGGCTGTGGGAGGGCCAGCTCTAGGACAGGGCTTCCCAGACTTGAATGTGTACATGATGGCCAGGAGATCTTGTTGAAAGGCAGGTTCTGGTGCATTCAGTTCTACATTTCTAGTGAGCTTCTAAGTGCTGCCAATGTGGAAGGTAAACGGACCACCAGGACTGCGCTTTGAGTAGCAAGGCTCAGATAGTGAATCCTAAACTCTGCTGTACCTAGTCCTGTGTCTATAGTGAGCCACCTCCGGATTCACCTGTTAGGTCAGCGTCTCTGGGGCTGGGATACAGGCTTTGATGGTTTTTTTAAGCTCCCCTGGCCAGTCCATTGTGCATCCAAGGGTGACAGCCAGTGGCCAGGAGTTCCTTCCAGCCTTGTTAGGTCTTCAGGGACGCCTGCCGGAGAGGAGGGGACTGACAGCTATGTGGATGGCTGGGGCTGAGCAGCAACTTTTCTGGATTCCATCCCACCTGTGGTCAGATGTTACGTGGGGACAGCTCTGATGGGGAAGTCAAATCCACATGACAGCCCTCAGTAGCGAAGGCCACCTGTAATCCACCCTCCACGTTGCCCCACCTCCCAGTCCTGCACCTGGCCAGGCTCACAGTATCCACCCCTTCCCTCCCCAGGTGGAGGTTCTTTATGAGGACGAGCCCCTAAAGGAATACTACACCCTCATGGATATCGCCTACATCTACCCCTGGCGACGGGTGAGCTGGGCAGGGTGCAGGGTGGAGGCAGGCATTAGTTTGTGACCACAGTGACCACTCGGGCTATCCTCTTCAATCCTCCCTTGTGTCCATCCCTTGTCTTGGGAGCTGGATGTGTCTGGGATTGTCTGTCATACCAGGTCAGCCTCTGGCCCTCTCTTGCTGATTAAACTCCCACACTCAGGAGAAAGGGCTCTTCTGGCCCATTCTGTGCTAATTTGGGGTCAGAAATAGGTGGCTGCCAGGAGCAAATATTGCTTTCTATATTCTATTTCCTGTCTCCTCTTTTTCTTTCCAAGCCCCCGTCTCTCTGGGTCTTTGTGTGTCCCTCTGTCTCTGCCTCTTGCTTTGTTCGCCTCCTTTGCTCTGCTGGTCTCCCCTCTGAAAGGCCCATATCTTCTCTTTGTTCTTGTGTGGGCACTTTGGGGTGGGGCTGGTGGCTCCCTGGTTAGCCTTTCTCCTGATACCCTCTGTCCCTGCCTTTCTCCATCTCCCTCTCACCACAGAATGGCCCTCTCCCTCTAAAGTACCGTGTTCAGCCAGCCTGCAAGCGACTCACCTTGCCCACAGTGCCCACTCCTTCAGAGGGCACCAACACCAGCGGGGCATCCGAGTGTGAGTCAGTCAGCGACAAGGCTCCTAGCCCTGCCACCCTGCCGGCCACTTCCTCCTCCCTACCCAGCCCTGCCACTCCCTCCCATGGCTCTCCCAGCTCCCACGGCCCCCCAGCCACCCACCCTACCTCCCCCACTCCCCCTTCGACAGCCAGTGGGGCCACCACAGCTGCCAACGGGGGTGCCTCGAACTGCCTGCAGACACCATCCTCCACCAGCAGGGGGCGGAAGATGACTGTCAACGGAGCTCCTGTGCCCCCTTTAACTTGAGGAAAGGGGTCCTTTCCCTCCTTTGCAGCCACCTCTCCCTCCTTTCACTTTTTCTGGGCCTTTTTTCCACCTCTTCTACTTTACCCAGCTCCTCCCACCGTAGAAGTGGGAGGTGGGTTTTATAAATAAATCTATATATATATATGTACATAGGAAAGACCAAATATACATACTTATTTTCTATGGACCAACCAGATTAATTTAAATGCCACGGGGCGGTGGGGAGAACTGTGTGTGTGTGTGTGTGTGTGTGTTTCATTTTTAGGGGGTCTTGTGTAGTTTGCTCTGCTCTTTGGGGGTTGCCTGGAGGTGAACTCAAGGGGCCACTGGAAGTTGGGTAAAGCCCTACTCCATTTCTCCCTGTTTCCCAAGGCAGATGGGATGTTGAGGGACCCCACCAGCCCCCAAAGCTTTAGACACAGCTCTATCTGGCCCGGTACGGGGTCCACTATGTTTCTCTACCCATCTTGGCTGCTGTCCTGCCCCTGCCCAGCCCCCCATTGCTGAATGTCCAGAGATTTTTGAAGACAGTGCCTTTTACAAGTGCAGTTTGTCCCCTGGATCTGAGGAGCAAGTGGGCAGCGAGAAGGCATCTCCCTCACCTCCTCATGCAGTGGAAATCTTGTGCAAAGACTAGATAGTTCGGCCCTTTTCCCCTGTGTGTGTGGCCTTTGCATCATTTATCTTGTGGAAGAGAAGATTCAGGCATGGGGGATCCCAGCCCTGGAAAGTCCATGTGTGGCTTTAGCAACATGAACTGCTTCGCCCCTTCCTGCCCCTACCCTGGCCCAGGACCCTTACTTTCAAGACTGGTGGTGAAGCCTCACTTGGAGACCCAGAACGGAGGGGCAGGGATGAGGTTAACCTCAGACAAGCACAGACCCCAGGTTCTGCCAAAGGCAAATAGTCCTCCAGCCCCCCTCCTCACCCCCAGCTGAGGCCGAGTCAGGACAGTGACAGAGGCATCTAGAAGCACAACTCTGAGAGGTCAAAAGAGCGCCCCCTCAGGGGCAGGCCCCAGCAGACCCCTGCCCACCTGGTTTTCCTCCAATGTACATAGATCTGGGAGGAGGCCAGACTGTCACAAGGAGGTGTGTGGGGTTGGGAGCCCCCATGGCTTTGTCTGTACCTTGTCCTGTTTGAGGTCCTGTGACTGTACCCTCCTCTTGCACTGGGACATTTGTATTTCTTGGCTTTGTAATAAATGCTGCATCCTCCCTGGAGCCTGTAGTTCTTTGGGGAAGGGGACATGGGATAGGATGGGTGGCTCCCCTGACCTTACCATGCTTACGTGGAATTAATCTGAGGTGCCCCCCTGTAGCCTGCCAGGCAGCCTCAGCTCCCACACAGGTTAAAATGTGATACAGGAACGTACCTGTCCTCACCTCAGTGACCACAGAACACCACTCCAGGGAGTCATGCTTGTTTAATGCCACCTTCTCCACCAGCAGACCCTGAACCAGGGACCCCCTCCCAATTGCTGTGACTGGAGACCTTGGGTTGTGGGGAACGATTTCTAAACAAGCCAGCTGTGGGTACTGGGGCCCCGGGATGGTTCCTTCTTGGGCTTGGCACTCAGTTTCTTTCCCCACAAAGGGGGTGCCTGTCAGAGTCCTGGAATCAAGTAGCCACCCCCTCAGAGTGGGGAGCCTACTTCTGCCTTCTGCACCTGCTCGCTCCTGTGGGTGCCATCACAGTATGGGGGCCTCTGGGTGGCCTTGCAGGTACAGAGGGCCACCGTTCGGGTCTCCTGGGCCTTGAACTTGAGTGGGGATAAGCCAGTTCGTTGAAAGAAGTGGGAGCCATCACAGAAAGGCTGGTGGAGGGGAAAAAAAGAGTCATAAGACCTGAGCCCCCCTGCGGAGGCCAGGCAGAGCTAGCCCAGTAGTTAGGGTTCAGGCTCCAGAACAGCTTCACTGATAAGAGTAGGTCTGTCATGAGGAAATAAAAACAAATGGTCATTATGTCCTTTGCCCATAGTAAGTTCAGTATTTACAGCATGCTGGGTGTGGTAGCCAGCCTCAGCAACTTAGTGAGACCCTGTCTCGAAATTAAACAAACAAAAAAAAAAAATCGGGGTAGGGGGATGCTGGGGATGTAACACACGGTACAGTGTCCTGGTTTTCAATCCCCCATATTGGAAAAAAATAAGTATTTACAACTGTTAGTCTGCAGGGAAGTGGGGAACCCAGAGGACCAGGACCCAAGAGTTAAGATCAAAGGAAACCTCAGGTATTTACAATGTTGTACTAAGGTTTTGTTAGGCTCTGCTGAGCCTGTTTCTTCATGAAATTCATTTCCTTTCCCATGTTCCCAGGCTAAAAACTTCTCTATATTGGAGAAGCGCTTCACAGTGCTTTAATACAGCAGGAGCAGTTCGTTTGGCTCCAGTAAATAATCAGGCATGTTAGGGAGGAAGGGATGCCCCAGGGTACCTGCCTGCCTGGTGCAGAAATAGGAATATCCCAGAACCCCTCTGAGCAGACTGAGTAATGGAAACTGAGGCCCAAAGAGGGGACTCACTTTGTTAGACCAGAACTGGAGCCAAGGCCTCTTGACCTTGGGACTAGGGTAGGATAAGAGCAAAGAAAGAAGTGAGCGAATAAAAATCAGCAACCTGACTCAAAGGGCATGGGCAGAGGCACATGTGCCAATCCACCCACACAGGCCACATTCCTCTGGCTGGCATGCCCTTGGCATTGTTCCACCTCACAAATACCTGCTTAAAGTCCACAGCATATCAGTGGTAAAGTGGTTCTCAGGACCCTGGATTGCTGACATTACCAACATGGCTTTGAGGAACAGTTATAAGTTCTGTACCAGAGGAAGGAAAGGGACTGAGGTCAAGAATATGGGTCAGATTCCTCCAGGAATGAAAGGCTCCTGGGCAGGAGAAGAGAGGATGCAAACAGGCCACAGGCTAAGAAGAAGGCAAGCAACTAGGAAAGTCACAGCTGCAGCAAAAGGGGAGGGTGTTCTGAAAAAGAGGAGCAGGAGTCAGGGGAAGGCTGGGTTTAAGGCAGAAAAGACAGGGCAGAATCTTCCCATGTGGGGATCCAAAGCTTGGGAAACTTTGCCCAGGAAGGAGAGGGGGGAAGTAGAGCTGGAGTCCAGATATATGCCCAGAGGAAGGACACAGGATTGGGACACTTGGACTCCAGTGCTCTGGCTGTGTGCTAAGCTGTTGTTGACAGCTTCATTTCAAGGGGAGCATGCAGACCAGCCAGCTCCAGGCCACTCGTTGGTAGTACTGCACTGGGAGCTACTGTTGCCCCTCAATCCCCCTGTTCTTCAGGTATATGCAGGAAGAGGAGGAGCAGGTGAGAGCTTTCAGAAGACACTGTATTATCCCCTGCTAGAGATGGCATGTGCATGGGAAGGGTGGCAGGAGTCTCACCTGTTTCTTGCTGCGGCCACATACACACCACCTGTAGGTTTTTCCAGCCACCAGATTCACCTTGATAGGTGTCTTTAGGGCCACCACAGACTTGGCTGGGGCTTTAGGGAACCATCGGTCCTGTGTCCAGGGAAGAAGATGGGGGGTGGGGGTGGGGATCAGCTCAAGCCCTGGAAGCACAGTGTCCAATTTCCTGCTTGCCCTGGTGTATGGCAGGCTTCTGGGAGGCTGATGTATCAGCTACCACCTGGCAAGAGCATTCCCCCCAGGATGTGCTAAGGTCCATAACTTCCAGAGAGAAGGGATTTCAATGCCATGCATGCATTCCAGTTTTACCTCAAATCCTGGCTCCCACTTAAGTGCTGGCCCCAGGGCCAGGATCTTGCCAGCCTTTGGCAGGGCCACCTACACCTACAGCTTGGTTTGTCAGTGGGGCGCTTGGTTCCCACCCTGTGCTATCCGATCCACCCCACCTCTTCTAGAGCCAGTGGGCAACAGGAAAAAAGTGCTGGAAGATGGGAGCAGGGCCGTCCCTTCCTGGTTCCATTCCCTGGTCTCTGCCCTGAAGGTCTCTGGAACTAGGGAGGAGGACGACGCTAGGGATACTCACCAGCCAGGAGGAGATGTCCCGCCTCTGGTACAGGCAGAAGAGATGTGGAAACAAAAATAAAAATCAGTGGAGAGGGCAGGTCGAGGGAAGCCGTATGGGCGTGAAGACCGGATAGGCCAAAGGGGCATGGGAGAAACAAGAGGGAAAGAAAAAGGGGTCACAGGAGAAGGAGCCTTGCGGGGCAGGTCCCGCATTTCGGCACTCTTTTGGGTGGACTGCGGAGGAAGGCGCTCAATGAAGGGCTGCAAAGCACAAGGCGGCCTGGGGACTCGGGACCCTTCGCTGAGAAGCGGGGCTTGGGAAAGGGCAGGGCCTGGCCTGGGCTCCGAGGACAGTGGGCCCGGAGAGGCAGGGCCTGGCGGCCCGAGGTCTAGGCGGAAGCGAGCGCGGAGCGAGGGCTGCTCACCCAGGTGCGGAGCGCCACCGGCCGCAACATCCCTCCCACGTCGCGTAAGGCTGCCGCTCAGGCCGCGCTGACTCCGCCCCGTCCGGGTCACCTTCCTTCTCCGCTCCGCCCCCGGCCTGCCCAGCAACGCTGCAGCCCGGAAGACACCACCCCGCTGCGTGCGGGTGGAGTTGGGCCCCGCGGCCCGAAGTTCGGCAGGTGCCCGCCCGCAGTCCCCGGCGGCTGCTCTGGGGTGCGCCCCGACCTCCCCCGCACTCCTGGGGTAGGGCGCATCTGCGGATGCGGTGCGCAGAGAGCGCCCCAGACGAGCCAGACTTCGCCCCAGACGGGGCCGAAGACTCTAAGGCAGTTTCCAAAAGCATAGTGTGAGGACACCACATCACCCAGCCAGCTTGTTAAACACAGTCCCGCTGCCGGGCCCTGTAGGTTACATGGGCTGTTATCTGCATTTGTGTATACACCGGGCATCCAAATTCTGAAAGTGTCACAGACCATACCCCTGCCCTCCTCCCTGCAGGCCCCCACAAATGGCACCCCACTCCCCTTTCCCTTCTATAAAGCCAGAAGCGGGGTCTCTGAAGAATTTTTTTTTTTTTTTGTAAAACATTCTTTTATTAAAAGAACAAGTGCTGTTTACGAACTGCCCTTCGTACAAATAACATCCGTTATACAAAGATACAAGATCCGGGTTATGCACAATTCCAGGCTTGGAGGTGGCACGGGGAGCATTGCCTTTAGGCTGAGGATACAAAGGAGGTTTTAGAAAGAATGAAAAAGGAGCCCCTGGGTTTGCAATTTGTGGCTTCCCCTCCCTGCTCCCCTAGGAAGGGTCAGCTACATGGAAACAGGCTGGGATGGAAGGGGTGGGGGAGCCAGGGTTTGGATCTCCAGTCCCACTACCCAAGTCCCAAGTTGGTCTGGAGAAAGTGAACAAAGGAGAGTGAGGGCACCCTTTAGCCCCTTTTAGTAGATCAAGACCAACTGGTCTGAGGGAGCTGGACATGCTTTTAATCTGAGTAGATGTGGCTGGGAGGGAGCCAGGGCAGTTCATCCCCATCTTCCTCCAAATTCCCAGTTAAGTTACCTCCATCCCTCTAGGCACCTCTCCCCAGGAAAATAAATTGGGATAAAGGAGAACTGGGAACAAGCTACCTACCCCTCACTCTGGCCCACTCCACACCAAGGAAGTCCTGGAAGCTGGCAGGAGCCTGTGTTTGAAAACCTGTCAGCATTTCCAGTTTGGGAAAGGGAAGTGTGAAGGTTACTCCTTGGAAGCTGTCCCACCCGAGGCTCTCCTCATTTGTCTAGGCCTTTCCCATTAGTCCTGGAGTTAGAACTTCTCCAGGTCTCAGCATAAGAGAGGGCAAGGCTCCTTGATCAGCCTCAAGGTCAGGGCACTTGGAGGAAGCAGTGGACCCAGGAGCCTGAGGGAAAAACCTCACAAACAGGAAAAAAATTTTTTTTTTTTTGTTTAAAGGCAACCCTTAAAGTGTCATTGTCTATGGAAAGAATCCATCAGCTCTGAACTAGGACTGTCAGTGCTATACAGATACCTTCCCACCCTGGGCACAGCCCTGCACTCACACCATATAGGGACACTGAGCCGGAGAGGCCATGCAGTGGGGCAGGGAAGCTCAGGACAAGGAGGCCAGGTCCTGAAGCTAGTCCTGGCTCTACACTGAACACCTGCCCCTCCTAGACTTGGAACTATCACCTGTGAAGCCAGGAGTCAACTCCAATGATCCCCAAAGACAGGTCCCTTCCAGCTCCAACATCCACCAGCTGTGACCCCTTGGCTGGCACTGGCTCAGCATGCACACCCACTCATGTCTCTTTGCTGAGGGTGGCAACACACAAAGCTCCACTCATGCATTTTCAAACTCCACTTCTGCTCTACAAACCACATCCTTCCTAACCCCTAGACTGAGAGCTCCACAAATCTGCATCTCCTCCCACGTCCATCCATTCTCAAAGAATAGACTGAGGCTGGAAGAGGGCGAGGTCATCGTGGCCATCCTCTCTTGCACTGGTATGCTGCTCCCCATGAGGCTCTTCAGAGCTTCCTATCATGCCTGGTCAGAAGGAAGTGCTGCCACCAATCTCATGCCCCCTGGGGCGGGGGTGTGGAGGTGGACAGCAGCACCAGTCCATGACCAGGGAAGCCCTTCTTCAAATCTAACCCAACTACCTGTTGCAACATTCCAGCCTGGGGAATATGAACTTGGGAAAACTGGAGAACAGATTTGTGGAGGTGAAGGAAGTGGGGCTGGGGAGGGCAGAGTGTTGTGCAGGAAGTGGTCTCGGTTCCAGTGCACTAAGTCATTTGGACCTCACTTCCATACGGTGATCTTGGTGTGGATGTCCTTCCCTTCCATCAGAATAGAAATAGACTTCAGCTCTGATAGCCAGCCTTCAGCCAGGGCATGGATGTGAATGGGTGACTCTCCTAAGAATCTCTTAAGGTTACTTTGTTTTTTAGTGGCTTGGGGCAGGGAGTTAAAGAGCTTAATAGATTAAGATGAATAAAATGCTGAATTCTATCATGTCTTTCTAACTGATATTTAGCATTAATAAAAAGTGAGTATTTCTGAGGTCATCACAACTGCCCCCGTCCCCCCCCACCCCCAAGCCCTTGCAAGTGCCTAAGAAATTGCCTCTGAAGAATTCCCACCCACCCCATCATTATCTCCCTAACATCTTACAAAGTCTTATCAACAGGAATATTAATATTATTTTCCATATCAGAAAAAAAAAACAGTTGAGCAGCACAGGCAAAAATATATCTGCACTACGTTTCTGTCATTGCCAAAAATATACACATCTTCTTTTCTTTATTTAAAAAAACCAACAAAAAAATCCCAACAACAACAAAAACCCAAACAGAAACACACACACAAAAATGCACACATGCAAAGAGACCAACAGGACTTGAGCTTCAGGGAAAGCTGGAAATGCCAAAGGACCAACAGCTCCACCCCAGTGCAAGTGAGACAGGGACACGGGTCTCCAGTCTTCCAGTGGCCCACTCAGCCTTTGCTGCCAAAGGCCCTGGGCAGATGGGGACTGCTTTACAGTGAGAACTGCCCACAACACCCCAGGGAAATAGCTGGTGGGTGAGGAGACAGCTGTTAGGTCAGCTTCAGTGGCTCCCCTAGTTGGTGGGGGTGGGGTGGAGTGCGCGAGGGCAGGCTGGCTAATTCTGGGAGGGAGACTTTTACTGAAAGAAGCGGCACTTCACCTCCCTTGTTCCCTCTCCCAATCCCTGGGGTCCCCCTTGTGTTAGGGAAAATGGACCAAACTACCAGTAGGGGAAGGGGGCCCAGGGGGCCCTGAGACCAAGTGGGGTCTGGAGGAGGGAAGGCAGGATATTACCCTGATTCAAAACCCCTAGCCCCCAGTTACTCTCCAAAACTGGAGTACTTTTCTGGTTTTTTGTTAACCATTCATGCCCCTGAAAGGGGCCAGAGTTGGTGAGGGGGGAGGGTACAAACAAGAGCTGGGAGCTTCCCCCTCTGGTGCTAACCACTGCGCCTGCTTCTGCCCTTGCGGCCCCAGGTCCAGGGGAAGACAGACAAACAGACAGAAACACACACACACACATACACATACACATGCACACACAGACACACTCACACTGTTGAGTCAGCCAGCTCCGTCTCCCCACCCTCCGCACTCCTCAAGCCAATAGTGCAAACAAGGGGCAGGGCACCAAGGACGGTGAGGGCCTCCCTATGCCCCACTAGTGGGGTCACAAGAGGTGCAGGAGGCCTGGCCTGGGTTTGATGCTGTCTTGCCCTTCCTCACTCCCCCTACATCTGTGGGCTTTTACAAGCTCAGCTTGTGACCCTTGGTGAGGGAGAGGGACAGTGAGAAACAGTCAAAGGGATCCCTTCTGCCATTTGCCCAGATTGGGAAGAAACTGCAGGTCAAGTGGGGCCAGCCCTTCTTCCATGAAGACTTCCATGCAGGGATAAGCCTAGGTCTACCCTCCACTGCTCCCCTTTCAAGTGCTGATCTGTTTTATGTGGTGGGTCCAACCAATCCCACACTTATGTCATGGCCCACTTTGCTCTCTGGGGGACCTCAAAACATTTGCTGAGGGTGGGGGCTCCTAGGCAGGCTTAGAGCCTGTCCTCCCTCTGAGCTTCTCACAAAGCAGACAGTGCAGACAGGGGGTGGGGATGCAGATGGAAGGGGCTCCCCTCCCAATCTCAGTCCTTGCACCAGGAGCCCCCAACACTCCCTGGGCCTCAGCACAGGCTCTGGGTCGGGGTTCTTCCAGTGTCTGGGCCCAGATGCCTGCTCCAGGATAGGACCCCTTAAGCCAGGATCTGTCCCCTCCATTTAGGGGTCAGGAGGGGTACAGGTAGATTTAGCCTTTTTCCTGGTTGGCTGAGGCTCCTTTGTCAGCGGTCTGGAAAGAGAGGAAGGGAGGCTGGGGATTTTGGAGTTGTGTGGCCTTAAAGCCTACCTACGACCATCTTCCTGGGACAAGAAAGCTGCCCCAAGTGCTGAAAGGGAGGCGGTCAGAAGGGTCCTGCCTAGGCTCTGGCAGGTGCAGGGGTGGGGGAGTTGTGAGCACATATGCCAGCAAGACTGGCTTCCTGGGCTCGGGTTGTGTCCCCTCAGAAGGAGAAGAGCCTCTTTTTCAATGGCCCTCCTAGAGGGGCACCTTCCTCTAACTGGTCACTCAGAAAGGAAATGGCACTTCCTAATTGGTCTTCCAGAGGAAGGCCGCTTTCTAACTGATCCTTTTACTATTAGCCCTAGCTCAGAGTGGACCCTTCTTGGCTCTGCAGGAGGGCACCCATGTGGAGCAGAGGCCCTGGATCTGGAGCAGGGCACCTGTCTAACCTGGGGGTTGCTGACATTCCCCTGCTGATGCATATGGTGATGTATATTCTGATGGTCCATCTCTGCCCATCCCTCAGAAGGGAGACAGGAAGGTTTGGACCCCTTACTCACCCCTCCTTTGGGGCAACTGCCACTGTTGTCCGTCCCCGACAAGCTGAGGAAGGGGTTGGTCTGGGCAGTGAGGACTGGAGGTCCGCCTGCAGCTGCGACTGCTGCAGCTGCAGCTGCTGCCGCCATAAGACTGGTGTTGTTGCTGAGTGAGGGGGCCACAAGGGCTCCAGCGGGCAGCAGAGGCGGGGCAGATGCCGCAGGCAGCAGGCCAGGGGTGCCCGCTGACAGCAGTGGGGTGGAGCTTCCTGCCAACAGGCTGGCCATGGGAAGTTGGGAGCCCCCAGCCATCTGCAGCCTCTGCAGCTCCCGCTTCTGCTGGATCTGTTGGATCATCTGGTAGACAACCGTCTGGTGCTCCTGCAAGGAGGCCAGGCTGCTTATGGCCAAGGTCCCCGCTGTCTCTCCTTGCTGCCTGCCTGGGTCCTGGGCTCTATCCGTTATCACCAGAACCATGAGGCAGGAGACAGGGGAGATGGTCAAGGTTCTGT